GTGGGTACTGCGGGGTGCGCACCACATCCGCCACGACCGACATGCAAACACCAATCACAAAGTTGCCATCGATCTTTGTCGCCTCGCCGGTCGGGCACTCGCCGAGCTTGCTCATCGAGCCAGGCCCGAGCCGAAGCAGGAACTGATCCAGCGGCAGCAAGCGGGCGAACAGAACTATGAAACGCCCGGCCGTCGCAAAAAGAATTCTGAAGAGGCAACGTTGCTCGGACTGTGTTTCGCCTTGGTGGCGGCGTGCCGTCCTCCCATCCCTCCCTTGGGTTGTCTGTTTTCTTTCTTTCTTTTCTTTCTGTGTTTCGCCTTCCCATCAATCAATCAAACCCTCATTCTTAAAAGTAGCCTCTCTCACAGCACACTGGCACGACAAGGGCGCGGACTGGCGCGGACACACCGGCTCACCAAAAAGAATTTCATAACGAAAGGCTCTGTGTGTGTCTGTCACTCACACTCACTCACAAAAGGCTCTCGCACACGCACGATTCACACGACAGAGTGGTGTCTGTTTCGCGCGAGTGGGTGCTGATCATAGGCGTGTGGTACGTGTGAGATTTTTATTATTAACCAACAAGAAATCACGACTGTCACAGTGATTCTTTCTTGTTGTACGTGTGCTGACCCGTTCTGACTGTGCGTGGACGAGGGTCGCGCGGCACACGTGTGTTGCTTCTACTGTGGCTGTTCGGCTGCTTAAAGGCGCGCACATCATATGATGAGCTGGTCGGTACATTTTAAACCGTACATTTTAAGTTATTGTCGCACCGTGTGAATGCGCGCCGCCGTCAGTGGCGATGCGCAAAACATCAACAACGCTGCTCGCAACATGCGTGTCGCGCACTCATTCATGACCGGTCTCAATGCCCCACCCCCCTGCGCGCGGGCCTTCTAAGCCCGCGGGTAGTCCCCCCCCATCCCCAGGGCCTCCAGGGCTCGCACCTCAACCTCTCACAGGCCAGCGCACAGCGCCATGGGAGGTATTTTCGTGCCAGTGTGCTGTGAGAGAGGCTTGTATTTTAAGAATTCTCAATAACAAGGCTGTGAATCGGCCGAATGGACAAGCCCGTCGTCCGCCAGCAGAGCTTCGGCGCCACCAGCATGGCCGCGGCGCTGCCACATGACGAAAGCCCCGACGAGTTGCCAGGCTTCGTGGAGGTTGAAGGAAAGCGCTTCAACCAGAGGGGATCGCGCTCCAAGTGGAGAGAGCCTGGCCGTGGGACCTGGGACGGCCGCCCAGCTGCCAGGGGAGGTCCGGTCAGCGTACGCCCGAAGCGATCAGTTCCAGCTACCCGCCATAGCTCGACTGTCGGCGGCCGCACCCTGCACTACGTCGTGTCGGAGCCGCCTTCGCCGTCAGGCAGGCGAAACGGCGGAGGCAGGCAACTGCGAAAGCTGCAGCCAAGGCCCGTACGAAGGGTCGCTGCCGAACGAGTTTCGCTGCCGAACGAGTTTCGCTGGATCCCGCCCTCTGGTGAGTTAGCATGCGATACGGAACTGCCGATGGAACGACTGGCGGAGCTGCCCGATGACGTGCTGGGCATCATCGCCGCGGAGTATTCGAGCCTGCGGCAAGGCATTGACACGGCACACGACGCTGCGGCAGCAGCGAGTGAGGGTCGTCTACAGAGAAACGAGATCCGCAACCGGACAAGGTCTATACACCGGGGAAGACATTAACGCGCGATAGTCGGACGGACGCCGGAGCGCGGACGTACAACAGAGAGAGGCAAACGAGAGTTGATGCGTTGTAGCCATCTCCCGCCCTAGGCCCCGCACTGCGCCCTCTCGAATCAGACCACTCACGCTGGCCCCACCTAGCAGCTCTCCGCCCTGTGCTGTCTGCAGAGTGCTGGGGAGTGGCGTGGTCACGTATGCGCGGACGCAACGACTTGTACCCGTTGATTAGCGTACGTGAGGTTGGGTAGCACTGTCGCCTCTAGTGTATCTAGTGTATGCCTTGCAGCGCCCGCCGGTCAATCTGTAACCGGGCCGGTCTGCACGGCTGACTACACAGTAAAGCCTACACTCCCAGGGGCAACTTGCAAAGTCCCCTCCTCGCGGCCACCAGCCCGAGAGGGGGGCCTTTTCTCCGTCAATGCGGCGCCGGAGGCGCCGCAAAATTTCGCTTTATATCACTATATTTTTCAGCGGTAATGAGCCGATTTCTCGCTCAAACCCCCGCTGGCCGAGGTCGCACGCACGCAACGGGCATCACACATCACAGAGCCATAGAGAAAATGACACAACACAGAATGGCGCGGTGGAGACGGTGAGGCCGCCGGAACTCGCCTATACCGGCTAGTGTGGAGCTCTCAGTGTGGTTGCGTGTTGTACTAGTGATGCTGCTCTAGGCGGCCCGTTTTTATCAAAAAGCAGATACCACATTGCGTGTGGTCTCGTCGAAAAATCGCATGTTCGCCCGTCTGGGACCTCTTCGTACGGCTCCAAAAACCGCTCCTTAACGACGACTACGCGGCCCGGCGGTCGATCTGCGCCTTCTCAGCGGTGAAGAGGATGTAGGCGGTACGTGCGGACCGCGTGGTGCTGCGATGGCTTGACGAGTGCGACTCCCAGCGTCGACTCTGCGACCCCACGGAGCCTCTGCTGCTCCGGGGGGGGGGGGGGGGTCTGCAGACCACCCGGCCGAACTTGAGAGTCGCGGTGCTCCTCAAATACCGCTCAAACGCCCACGATGTTGTGGAGGGGACCTATGCTGATGATCCTGGCCCGATTGGTTCGCTCAGAAAGCTTCTGGGCGGTCGTTAAGGTCCGCTCCCCGCACACCGGCCCCGGTGCCCGGAATAAGATACATCATAGGGGGGGGGGGGGGGGGTCTTGCTTGCTCCACACCGAGCGCCATCGGTCCGGACCGGTGCGCCCAATGAAGGTAGGCCTGCACAAGGTCTGAGCCGCGGGCGCTCGGCGCCAAGTGCAGTGTCACGCACGCGAAGGGGACACAATGGGAAATCCTCGTTTCCTATTCACTCGGTCCCCCAGCGGCGCGACGCCTCTTGCTCGCGCAACCCGCCGCTCCCTCTCCGCTCCCACCATGCGAGTGTGCTGGCGCCGCGATCTCGCGCGAGAGACGCACCCAAGGGATTGCAGCGCGGGCGAGAGAAAGAGATGGCGACTCGCCGAGGTCTTTACCGAAGCCGCCCCCGCTTCCCTCCCCAAAGGCAAACATGTACGTGTACGTAGCCGCGGCCCGCTGGGTGCGCTCCTCAGCTCCCCGGCCCTGGATGTGAGGTTGATGACTGCACTCCAAGTGCTCCAAGTTCTTCGGTTTGTCTATGACAGCACACACTTGAAAAGAATTGGAGGGATCGCACAACACTGTGCACGGGACTAGGTAGGTAGGTAGGTAGTAAGGTGAAGAACAGCCAGGCTCGGACTGGACACCAACGCGGTATGGGTGGACGCTAGACAGATGATGACGACACGCACGAGCGACACACAGACACAAACAGGCTCACAAGACACACAGCCAGCTGGCTGCCACACACCCTGAGTCGGCGTACACATAACTCAGGGCCACATCCTCCCTGTCGCCCCCCCCAGCACTCCACGGTGCCAAGGGCACAAACAAGGGCACAACTCAAACAACAGACGACAGGAAGTGATATGTGAGGCTAGAGCAGCTTGCTCCACCTCTAGCAATCTCACCGGCCTGCGAGGCACGGACGAGACCGTATGTGGGGTCTAGTGAGGTGTCTATGGACGCGCTCCTCATGGGCTAGCTGCCTGCGGCTAGCCCTTCTCGCACTCACAGGCGATGACATTCCAATGTATGAGTGTATGCAAGCTGAGGCGCGTGTGCTAAATCTAGGCCGCACGTCGTGGCACTATGACGGAGGTAGACGTGCGGCCGCAGCGCGCCCACCACAGTTTCGGCGGGGCGCGCGTGTTAGCAAGAGAGTTGCGGGGAGAGCCATGCCCGACTTTTCGGAGGCGAGCCCCACGCCACGGATGCCAGCCGTGCTTTCGCGGGAGTCGTCTCCCAAGCCGCGTCCCGTCAGCACTGTCCCCGAGTGGTCCCGCCTCGGCGGCACACACTCTCGACCAGGACAGTCCCGCCAACGGAAACGTGTCGCGCGCCGGCGACCATTGCGGCGTGGTCGTTGTGAAGCGGATGGCACGACCACCGCCCTGCTTCGCAGACCGGGCAAGGAGGGGCCTGCTCCCGTTCCGCGAGGAACGGGAGGTCTCCCGCCCTCCCCCGGCCTGAGCAGCGACGCGTGGAAGGCAGCCCCTTGAGTCGAGGTCGGCGCGGCCATTGCCGAGCTCCAGCAGCCAAAGGCCTGGGCGTCTGCTGATGGTCGCGCCGCCCCGCTCCGCGTCGCCCGCCGCCGCGCCACCCCGCCGCGCCGCCCGCCGCCGCGCCGCGCCGCCGCTCGATGATTAATAATTAATAATTATTATCCTGATCACTAACTAATAAATAAGTAATTACACCACCCAGCTGGACCCTCATTACGGGACTGGGCGCGCACTGGCATTAAAAAAGAATTTTGAATGGAGTCATCAGCCACTCCCTCTGACGGCGTTTTGCCTGACTCCTCCATCAAGGTTTTCATGCATCTTCCGCTCCCTCTCGCGCTAGCCCCGCCGCATCACGCCACCGAAGGCCGCCGCGAGCTGCGCGCCCAATACCCCCGCGACACCTGCTCTTAACGGAAATCGCGCCGCATCCGCACCACCCCCGCCATGCGACGCGCCCACGCTCTTCCCGCGAGCGGCTGCGCCTCTCCAGCCGCACCGGCTATGCTCGCAGCTGCGGCCGTTGCATTCGAGGAGCCGCGAACGCGCCCACCCTCATCCCATTTTATGCTGCTGACGCTCTCCCGCCGCCGCCTGCGCCCTCGCAGATCCAAAACACTCGAAAGTAGGCGTGTACTGGCCATCCTCCCTACCCCCGTGCCCCTCTCGGCTGCGGCGCCGCTCACACCCTTCTCGTCTCCCCGCAGCCGTCACCTCCACCACCACAAGCCATGGGAAATTGCGGCTCAAAAAAGGCCGAGAAGACGGTCGTCGAGCCAGAGGAGCCGAAGCCGAGCGCGGTGCCTGAGGAGCCGGTGGAGGAGGAGCCGGTGGCAACGGAGAAGCCGTCGCCCGAGGCGGAGGCGGAGCCCGCGCCAACCGAGGAAGAGGCCGAGGCTCCCGTCGCCGAGGCTGAGCCGGAGGCGTCAACCGTCGCGGAGCTGCCGACCGAAGAAGACAAAAACATCTTCGCAAAGGCCCGCCCCCGCCGCCACCCTCACCACCACTGCCCGCCACAGCCGCCGCCCGGCCTGCCGACCCAGCCGCGCCGCCCCCGAAGCCCCTCCCTGCGCCCCCTCCCGCGTGCCCATCCCCTCCCTCTCCCGCCCGCTCGCCAGATTGGCGACTTCGTCAAGAATGCCTTTTCGGCGCGCGAGGACCCCGACCCCGTGGTTCCCAAAGGCCTCCCGGACGTCAACGTCTGGCATCCGCAGAGCGAGATGGAGGTGCAGGGGATCGTTCGCCAGGCCCGCGCCGAGGGGAAGAAGGTGCGCGTCGTGGGCTCGGGGCACTCGGTTTGGGATGCGGTGGTCCCCGCGGGCTTCGCGCAGACCGGCGAGGGGGATTGGCTCATCGTCTTCGACAACATGCGCGAGCTCGCCATGGACGGGACGCGGGTCCGAGCCCAAGCCGGGAGCAACCTCGGCGTCTCGCCCCGCCTGCCCCACTTCGAGCCCATCACCACCGATGCGGCCCTCGCCCCGAGCGCCCAAAACCTCACTCGCCCCTTCTCGTGGGAAGAGAGCCTCTGCTACTTTCTCGACCAGCAAGGCCGGGCCCTGCCGGACCTCGGGGGCATCAGCCATCAGACGGTGGCCGGGTTTCTCTCCACCGGCTCGTCCGGGGGGACGACCCAGTATTCGCTCCTCGACTACGTAGAGCGTCTCCGCATCGTCGACGGCAAGGGGGACGTCCACGACGTGGGGCTGGGGGACGACCTCTTTCACGCCGCCGGGGTGGGCATGGGGCTGTGCGGGATCCTCACCGAAGTCACCATCAACACCATCGACCGCTTCAACATTCGCGGCACCGAGCTAACCGCCTCCGCGGCGTCCCACCCCGACGTGGACTTCTTTTCCACGGGTACCCCGGGGCCTGAGGGGAAGCCCCGCCCGGCCCTGCGCACCTTCTTCGAGGAGGACCGCTACACGCGCCTCATGTGGTGGCCCCAAAAGGGGTTCGAGCGCCTCGTCGTCTGGCAGGCGACGGCAGAGGCCCCGGCCGACGACTTTGAGGCCTACCCCTACGTCGAGATGAAGCCTCTCGACCAGGTGGGGGCTTCGCTCCTGTACACGCTCCTGGGCAACGTGGGCCAGGCCGATGCCATCGACGACTACCTCCAGGTGGTGAAGAAGCGGGATCCGCAGGGGTCGGTGGTTAAGGGGCTGCGGGATGCCCTCGCGAAGGTCGACGTGGCGGAAGCGGCCCTTCGCGACGAGATGAAGGGCGCCCTCACCGCCACCGACGACCACAAGGGATGGCTGGAGAAGCTCGGCCACGACGCGGAGAAGCTGGTGGGCGAGGATTGGCACACCCAGCTCTTCGAGCGGGTGGCGACCGTGCTCGACGACCTTTTGGCTGGCGCCATCAACAGCGAGGCCCTGGCCGGCCTGAGCTGGCTCCTCGACAAGCTCGCTCCCTACATCATCGGCCCCGTCCTGGGGAAATTCATCCCCGACGGCGTCAACGATATAAACGGCAAGCCCTTCTTCGCCGACAGCTGGTACCGCGGTCTCCCCATGGACAACCAAATTGACGACCTCATCCTGCCCACCTGGTTCACCGAGATTTGGATTCCCTATTCGGCGGAAGGGGGAGAGTTGGAGAAGACCATCGCGGTCCTCAAGGAGCACCTCCGCGGAGATGGCTCGTACTCCAGCGCCTACGAGGCTACGGGGGCCTACTGCATCGAGATCTACGCGGCGCGGCGGGGCGATACGTTCTGGCTCAACCCCGCCACCGGGGATGAGAACGTCCTGCGCATCGACATCTTCTGGTTTGGGCGCAACGAGGCGGATCCGGTCGCAACCTTCTTTCCCCAGTTTTGGAACCTGCTGCGCGAGCAGGGCATCGGCTACCGGCTCCACTGGGGCAAATTCAAGCCGCCGGGGCAGGGAGCCGGTGCCGATGGCCTCAACGACCTCACCCGGCCCTACGGCGATGCCTTCCGACGCTTTGAGGCGGTCCGGGAGGCCTACGACCCCGACGGCGTCTTCCTCACGCCGTACTGGGCCTCCCACCTCGGCATCTAGGCAGATCTGCGCGTAGCGTGCACCCACTTTTGTTCGAAACGCGAACAACAGTAGGGAGGCTGCTGCAGACACCGCTGCCGCCATCATCTTTGCCTCGCAGTAGATCTATGCCTCCGCCTTGCGGTCGATATGTGCGAGATTTAGACCGAGAGTAGGAGAGAAGCCGTGCAAGCCGGCGCCAGAGACTCCCTCTCATGTCTCTTTTTGAGTATCTGAAGAACATCACCAGTTCAGTCTCGCTCCATTTCGTCATTCGTGCTTCACTTTGTGAAAGTGACTGAGTTTTATAAACGTCGTGACCGCCGCTCTGTTGTGACTCTCGCGGTTGCGTTTAAAATATCTTCTTCTTTTAGCCCCGGTCGACGTCGTGGGGGTCGAACACCCCGAGTCCAATTACACTGTGAAAAAGAGAGAAAAGAACGCGCGCGCAGCAGGTGCGCAAAGCATAGAGAGTCAGACGCCCCGACCTCTCGCTGAACTAAGCCCCCGCGCTAGTTAGTCCCTTTGATGGGCGGCCTTGTGGGTGGGTGGGTGGGTGGGGGGGGGGGGGGCTCGAAACCCGCGGCCGGGCTCTTCGAACGGCGGGCGCCCCCGGATCCACTATTCTCCGCCGGCCGCCGGTATGCGGTAAATCTCACTATTTGGAACTGATACCTTCCGCAGCGGCCTGCCGCACCCCCGTGTGTGTGATAAGAAGTGTCCGGGGAGGAGAGGACTCTGAGAGGACTGTCTTTGGCTCGCGCTCGTTGCTCCGTCTCTTTGCGTCTTCCATATCATTGAAGACCACCCGAAGCCGGCGGTGCAACTCGCACTGCTCGCAGTTCCCTTGTCTCTTCGCTCAGGTTTGTGCGGTGCTGATGTGGCCCCACCGCACACGCATCGATCGCCGCCGAGATATACCCCACCGTCTGCTTGCCGAGTCGCTGCCGCAGCATATGCACGATTTCATCGCCGACAAGTTGCGCGTAATCCAGCCGTCCGAGTAGCGCGTCCGAGTGTGGACATGAGTCCGGGGCCGGGCCGATGCTCGAGTTTTATTTCTCACTCGCGGCTAGTGGGCGCGAGCTCTGAAACCGGGTCTCAGGTGCCACGCTTCACCATCCCATGCCTGCATCGCGCATTGATCTCGTCGATCTTTCCTCAGTAACCACCGGGTCGATAAAACGACGCGACTTATTGTTTTCTCGACGGAGACACTCGGGAGCGGCCGCACATTGCTCGGTACCCCCCCTGCACATCTAAAGTCTTCCCTGCTGCTACTCGTCGCCCTGAATGGTTGCCCAGGTTACTCAGGACACCATCCCGGCGTGAACACGACGAACTGCCCTTCTCCGATGCACGCGCGGCACGCGCCACGGCGCGGCACGTGCCGCCGTCTTTGTTTGAAGTAAAAAGTCGAATCAGAGCGGTGTCGGCGTTGTCCTGAGTTTTCTCCTTCGGACCGCCCAACCGGGACCGCTCCGGGACGCACGCCGGCGAAGCACCATCAAGCTGCTGTACGGCCGCGGTATCGCCTCCCCTGGCTTAGCTAGACTGAGATATATTGTGCACAAGGTTGGCCTCTACAATATATACACTGACACTCTACCTCCCAGAGCTCGTCCCGGTCCGCCACGGCCATCCTTGGCCTCCGGAGGGCCCCCGGCCGCGGCGCGGTGCGGCGGCGTCACAAATCCGACCACAGAGCACCGGGACGCGGTCGGGCGATCTGAGGTCCAACTAGGCGTATGCATTGCCCATATCCATGGCTATCACCTGGACCCATCAACAGGCGCCTGCGGCGCCGTGGTCACGAGGTGTTGTTCACACCTGGGCAAGCATTCATGCAGCACAGTAGAGGGGGGGGGGGGGTCTGACGTCTGAGGTCTGACCCCCCCAGCAGCAAAACGCTGCTGCTGGGGGGGGGGGGGGGTCCCCACCCCCCCAGCAGCAAAGGGGATTGGACCCAGGTTTCCCGCCTTTTTGGGGGCGGCGCCCCCTTCCAAATTGGGTCGGGTTTTAACGGTACCCCCCAGGGGGTTGGGTTCACCCCCCCCCGGTGGCAATAAGAGGGTACCCCCGGGAAACCCCTGGTTTTGGGGTCCACCATTTCGAGGGTCTCCAGGGGGAAATCCTTTGGCCGCGTTGGGTAGCGAGGATTGGTGTAACCCGAGCCACGGAGGCGTGTTTTCTGACGGCCGACCGTCAGTGCACGGAGTTGCCCCTTCTCCGACTGCCCCGGCTAGTTCCCGAGGTCGTCGGGTGTGACCCCTTCGTCCCCCGAGACCTAGCGCGGGTGGGTTGGAGGGGCCTCGGAAAGGCGCGCAAGCACGCCCTACGTCTTCCCCTCCTCCCCATCGGGCCGCGTGAGCGGCCTCGCCTCGCAGATTCGTTTCTCGCGCCTGGGTCAGGCGCGCGGGGCATCCCCCGGGTCGCTCGACCAGCGATCCGAAGAGTGGCCGCTATGCGAGGGAAAGAGCGGGGCCCACGGGGTACGCCTCCGTCCGGCCCCCTCCGAGGGGGGAAGGGAATTGTGGGGTCCCCACGGGCGCCTCAGTTCGGCCCTCCCGAGGGGGGGGAGGGGAGCAAGGGGGTGGGGGGGTCGGGGCGGTGGGGAGGGGTCTCGGATTTCATGGGTCTAATACTTGCCCTTTCGGGGAGGGGCCTCAGGTCGGCGAGCGCAGTGGCGCCCGCTCGACGTCTTCCCCTCCTCCCTCGAGGCAGCGAGTAGGCCGCGAGAGGAGGTCTCGAGCGCCTATATATCAGGTGCTAGGTGATGGGAGAGTGCTGAGTGGGCGGGCGGGCGGGCGGGCGGGTGGGCTGGCGGGCAGGCGGGCTGCGGCAGCGGGGGAAGTCGTATCTAGCGCTGGCAGTGGGCAGCTGCAGCAGTAGCATCAGCAGCCGCAACAACAGCTGCAACAGCAGCAGCAGCAGCAGCAGCAAAAGAAGTAGAAAATTCTCGCCACTGGAACGCTAACCGTACTTACTTACAGCTGCTGTCGGTACAGAGATGCCAGCACCCCCCAGCAGCAGCGCGGGGCAGCTGATCTAAAGAGTAAAAATAAAGAAAAACATAAAGCAGCGTGTCTTCATCGGCGTCCCACTTCGTGCCTTGCCGAGGGCGGCTGCTTTTCCTGGCTGGCGGCTGCCTTTCGTCGTACGCCGGCCGGCCCTGGCAGCCTTCAATGCTGTCGCTGCTGCTGCCGGCTCTCGCTTCCACAAACGTGAGCCTCGCAATCCTCTCCTGGCAATCTTACGGGCGCTCCACATCCGCCGAGACTTGCGCCGGCGACTCGTTTGTCGATGACACGTGTTGGTTGCCAAAGCGAATGCAGGCGGTCGTTGCGGCCGCCCTGACGGCAGTTACGGACTTCAACTCGCGGGACGCTACTGCTCTACCCGTGCTTGGGTCCTTGGCTGGGTGCGACAAGCAGCTTCAGTTCCGGCTGCTCGACAGCGGCGGCTCAGCTGGCACGTCGATCCTCGCGCTTGGAGACCTGTCTGCTGGCACAAACGTGGTCATCGGCCCCGCTCGTAGCGACGTCTCCGCCACCACTGCGGTCATCACCGGTGCTCTCGACATTCCGCAGATTTCGTACTACTCACATTCGACCGATCTGTCCGACACCGTCCTCTACCCTCGCTTTATGAGGACCATACCCTCGCAACTTGCGCCCGCTTCGGCCCTCTGCTCCTTTTGGAAGCACGAGCTTCGGCTCTCGACCGTAGCCGTACTGTACATGCAGAACGCGGGAGGCCGCGCCTACGAGGTAGCGACGAGGACCGCCTGCGAGAGCCTCGGCTTGACGTTCGTCAGCAAAGAGTTCTCCGAAGATGGTTCGATCCGCGAAGAGTCGATCCGGGACGCCGTGGAGAGTCTGAGCAGCAGCGGTGCCAAGGCAGTGCTAGTTGTTACTTTGAGCGCCGTGAACCTGGGCCGCATTGCAGAGTCTGCGCTGGAGACTGGCCTGCTCCGACCAGGCACCTCTTGGGTCTTCACTGGCTCTGCGCCCGCCGATGTCGTCTTTCCCTATTTGAGCGAGCAGGCGAAGGCCGCGCTGCACGGGAGCCTGCAAATCAAGGCGGTCGGTGCGACCGACAACAGCCCACAGTGGGCCCATTTTGCCAACAACCGCTGGGCGGAGCTTAAGCCCGGAGACTTCAACCCGTTCCTGCACGCCGACTGGCAGATTCGCGACGACTTTTTCAGAACCGTCAATCCAAACACGAGTGCAGTGCTGCGCGAGGGTGGCACCTTTGCTTACGATGCTGTCATAGCTGCAGGGCTGCTGTCGTGCCAAGTGGCTCCGATGGGCCCGTTGCCGGCGTCATTTGGCACGCGGTTCTGGGAGGCCAAGCAGAGCCTGTCGTTTGATGGCCTTTCGGGGCGTGTTGAGTTCGACGAGAAGGGCGACCGGAGCAGTGCGAATGTGCAGCTGTTCAACCTGCTCGACCAGGGCGGCTTCTCCGGGAAGCAGGTAGCGCAATTCACCAACGGCGAGTGGGTCTGGGAGGGCGGATCTCGCGAGAGCAGCGGCGTGATCTACAACTTTGGAGAGACCGAGCCGCCGTTTGAAGAGTTGGTTGAAGTGGAAGGCGAGAACGATCTCCTAGTGATCATCGGGGCGTGCGTTTTGGGGGCGTGCGTCGTCCTGGTGCTGTGCTTATGCTTCGCACTACGTCGCAAACGCCCAGCCAACGTAACGCCCAAGGATGAGCTGCATCGCATGGAGACGGAGATAACGGAGGTGTTCAAATGCATGTCTGGGCGCTTCAATGCCGAGGAGGTGACGTTGACGAACATCCTCGACTCCTACGACCGCTTCGCCTCGGCACCGCGCGAGCTCGTGTTCGGCCGCCCCGCCCAGGCGGCGCTAGGCGTCGAGGCCTTCATGCGTGTGCCTGACAACATCGTGCATCAGGGCCGGATCGACGGGACGGCGGCCATCGTGAGCGAGGTGAGCCTCGCCGGAACGGATGTCGACAAGGAGTGCCTCGCTTACGTCCTCTACGCCGAGGCG